CCAGTGTCATGAAGGCTACAAGCATACTTGGAGGCTTCAAAGTGTGTTCATATGAATGAAGTTGACCTGAAAATGTTAAATGGTTTTGTACTATTAAAAGTTTCCAAGCTTACATGGACAGTGGCAGGTTGAGAGATGTTTATTTCAAGGTCACAAGTTAGATGTATTGAAACATTTTAACAACTGCTGTGTAAATTCAAGAAGTGTACATATGGTCATATTTACCCTGTAACAACCAAGGATGAAAATCTATTCTGAAATATGTTGAACTGAATGACTTTGGGGACACAAATACACCACGCACACAAATATATATATATATATATATATATATATAGTGTTAGTTTTCTCAGTCCTTACATCTTTAAAAAAAATAATAATAATAGTTAACAACTCGACGACACTTTTGTTTAACATAAATGATATATGACCTAATTTTAAAAATGCTGAAGCACAACATGTCTTCTCTTGATAGTAGGTTGTCGGGTGGAGCATTAGTTATCTTCCAACACACTATTGGCATACCTATGTGAACGAACTGCGCACATTTTTTGGCTGATTTGTTTTTGTTTTCATACGTGGCTGAATTTATTGAAGAGCTTATCAAAACAGGTCACAAATACCTTGCCAGGTTGTTTGATGCCACCTTCAGATTTTATTGATGACGTCTGGTCTTTAAATGACAAGAAATTTATTGACTACGTCCATCGTTTATATCCACCAGAATTGGAAATCAAAGACACGACAGACTTTTCTACATCAGCTGCTTATCTCGATCTTTTCCATCAACGAAACAAACACGAACAGCTTTCCATCTAGCTGTATGATAAGCGTGATGATTTTAATTCCTTGAACTTTCCATTCCTGGAAATCAATATTCCTGCATTTCCAACCTATGGAATCTACATGTCACAGTTGATTCGATAGCCTATGGCCTGTTCCCATTATCACGATTTTCTTACAAGAAGTGGCCACATGACTGACAAACTCGTAAAACAAGGGTTCAAAAGATGCAGTGTGACGAAAATTATGGGAAGGTTTTATGGTCGCCATAGTGATCTTGTTGAGATTTGATGCTCGTTCGTTTGCCTATTGGTTCAGTTGTTGTATACCTTGCTCTCATTTGAGAATGTGCCATTATTTACTTGGATTGACCAAGGTTTACATGGCGGATGTCAATGAAGGAGAAGACGCTTACTCTTACGGAACACCTGGTCTTATTCTGCTTGTACGTTTTCATGAGTCTTCATGTAAGTTTGCTTTGTTCATATTTTGCCCTAGTCTTACGGAGATTGAGTTTGAATTGTGATTATAATGCCAGGTTGGCATTTTCCTGCCTTTTTAAATATATATGCATATTCTCCCTTTACCTTTACTTGGCGTCTAGGGTCTGATTCCCAAAATGACGTGAATTGGTATAGGGTCACCTGCACGACCACGTGGATTTTTACGGCCATTCCGATTCCAGAAAGAGTGACTTAAAAATAAGTTGGATCAAGTGGTTTCGCAATTGTAATAAAATGATTGAAGGTTTACTTAAAGATTCGTTAGAACTGGTTTGAAATATAAACACATTTAGATATCTGTATAGTGTTGTACCCCTATAAAAGAAGTTTAAAAGAAAATCTAAGTATAAATACAATTACTTGTCAACAAGCAAAAACGGAAAACTTTAAAAGAGAGTAGTATTTAAATTCTATACAAACCCATTAAAGAAGGCTACAAAAGAGAAAAGTATCTAAATCTTCCTGGTTTTTATCTGAGTAGCTTTTTACCAAGTCTAGATTACGCAAACATGACCTTGAAATATCTAATGGTAGAATAATATTTTTTAAAAACATTCCCAGAATTAATTTTCCGGATGATGATGATGACGGTAAGGTCCAAATTCTATCGCCAAGTTAAGGAAATATTTGATCCTATTTTAACTGATCACACAATATTCAGTCGTCATACAATATAAAAATCATACTTCAGACCTGTTATATATTAAACAATCATTAGACCTGAGGAAGACAGGGCTGTTACCAGTTGGATGAAGTATTATTTGGCTAAAAATCTGTTCTATATCTGTCAATCTAAATTCGTTATTTCTAAGTTCGTGTTATACATCACTTACACATGTAATTATAGCTTTGTTAAGAAAGGTTAATTGAACATGCATAGTACATAAATGATTTATTTCACTACACTAGGCTTCTTTGAAGGAAAATTTCATTACACCAATCAACCAATCATTGATCGCATAGCCATCCAAAGAAGACGTCCAACACCACACACAACAGGGAAATAGAACATTTTCAGTTACATCTTCGCACATGACGACAATAAAACTTCCCCGATCATCAACCTACACCCCTGTGTTGTGACCCACTGCGATACATGACGGGGAAGTTCGGACATACAGGAGGGAAATTGACAGTAGCACGTAAGGTTATCAAACAGCTTTGGGGGAATGGAATCAGGTTGTCCCGGTGTTGGTTTCGCTGTACGAAAAGATTGAGGTAAGTGGGTGATGCTTTCTGTCACAATTTTTAATCAACTGTCTCACATTTTATATTTATTGTCGCCTCTGTCAGAATGTAGTATGGTAACTTCTGAAGTCAAACAACCATTACGAAATATCCTAAATATATGCTTCATCTGAGGAATAAATTATATGGTATTCATATACCGTTTTCAGAATTATCATTTTTCATTTAGTCAATTCAGATATTCGTTTTACATAAAAGTCAATTCAACGTTTTTACAAAAAAAAAATAATGAAATTGAACAGTACTTAGATACTCAATTAGATTAAAAAAGGGAAATATGAAAAATTCTATAGGCTAATATCCTAACAATTGAGATACGAAACATTGTGTATAATTTCATAACGTTTCAAAATAAAACATAAAATATACATATAGTTAAAATTACTTACATATAGACTTTGTAACAGAATCGTGAGTGTGTCGCTATTAGTCAATATGTACGAGAAAGATTTTTCCTGTTTAACCCCCCCCCCCCCCCAAAAAAAAAAAAAAAAAAAAAAAAAAAAAAAAAACAAAAAAAAAAAAAAAAAAAAAAAAAAAAAAAAAAAAAAAAAAAAAAAAAGAAACAAAGAAACAAACAAAAAACCCAGTTACTTGCAGAAAAATTCGACCTGGTTGGGGTGTCTGGGATATCTTTTGGTACCTAGATACGCGAGTCTCTTATGTCTAATTCAAAGTAAAATTGATAGCCTCGAGAAAGGTTTGCTGCATGTGGCTGTAGATGTTAAATAACTTGATATTTTGTCTGAATTTTATCATTTAGTATACATAAGAATATTGTTGAACTCATGAATGTGGACGTGTGCCATTATTACGGATTCAAACCACGAGATAAGATCTTAGACTTGTAAAGAAAGTGTGTTAAGTCTATGGTGACTGATTAGTGTATGTGGTCTACCTTCGGCCAAGTCCACTCAAACAACAAAGAAAACATTGGCATGTCAACAGAATCATAATTCAAACACAAATTCGAGGAAACTAGGACAAAATGTGAAAAAAAATGTACAAGCAGAATAAATGAAGCGGTTTTTCTCGGAATTGTAAGTGTCTTATGCTCAATCGACAACTCTCGCCAGATAAATCTTCGGATCAATGACAGTAAGCCGCGTCACTTTCCTGAACGATAACACGTTAAACACAATGGAACCAACTCGCAAACTAACGAACTTCTATCACGGCCAGTTTCACGTGCACAAACATATAGAATATTTCTCGGTGAGATGAGTATGACGACCGTGAAAATCCCAGTAATCTCTTATTGCTTTGTGAGTATGTCTGTCAGTTGTAGATATCTTGTATGATAATCTTGATTTTTGGAACAAACCTAGCTAGAATATCGAATAAATTGTGATATGTTAACGTCATAAGTTGGTTATGCATGATGTTGCTATCCATAAATGGAAAATTCAAAATAGAGATACTTAGATCTTTACACTTATAAGTGGAAAGCTTCTCATGGTTTTTCAAAGACAAAACGTCATCAATATATCTGAAAGTGAAATCAAAGGACTTCACAAGGTCTTTGTGACCTGTTTTGATATCAATAACTTCGACTTCGTATGAAAAGAAAACAAGTCGGCCATGAAAGGCATATATAAGTTGTCGCTCAAATTTCTTCGAAAAGAAAGTCCATACAACAACAGAATGAAGGCGTTCCTTCAGTGAGAATTGGGTATGTTGGTGAACAGACGGTGCCGACTGAAAATCAAATGTTATTATGGAAGAAAATCTCAATTTAAAAGAGGATATTTAAGCAGGAAATGCAATACAGTCAGTTGGACCAAGTTATTCAAGATGTTCGTAAGATTTAACGTCTTGTCATTTCATATTTCACCGACATTGAAATTGATTGACCGAAAGAATTTAACTCGCTCTGAAAGTGAATAACATTGCAGTGTTGTAGTGTGTTCTCATTTCACCCACTCTCGTTTGATTCTTTTTCAATGCATACTATTTTGTAAACACGAGAAATCGGTAAAACTTTATTTAATTAAGCCTAAACATTAATGATTTATTAATTTATTTCGGAAATTAGGCACGTATCACGAATAAAGGTATTAAACGCCCCAGTAGAAATGTTGTAAAACCTGCTTATTTTCTCTTGTCTTATTTATATTTAACCAAAGTTGACCGCAAGAAATCGTTTGGGTTTATTTAGATATCAAACACAGTATTAGGTCTTGAAATTTCTGTCTTTGGCTTACTGAACGTCGAAGTCCCATGTTTGATCTATATCTCTGTATCGATAGAACAGGTACAACTGAACATGTACAACCACTATTTACTTGGCAGGTGCATAGATATTATAATAGTCATGTACTGTATATCATACATAAAAATTTTAAATATATTTATCTAACGATCAATAAACTCGCTCAATTTGACACGTGGTGTCCGCTCGTTTGTTGTAGCCTTGGTGCGGAAGTCGCATATCATTCCGTCATGAATATTTATGAGGATCACAAGATGGCGGCGACTGTTTTGGTTGTGGTGTTACTTGTAGCCCACCACTTTCCGATAGCTGGTGGATCGTCACACTGGGTTGTCACCGAAGAAGGCTTAGTTCGGGCTCAGGTAAACACATAACTTTAGTTAATATCTGATGTGTCTGCACCTGTTGAAATTGATGCAAGATCGCCATAGGTTGAAAATTTGTCGGCTAGGAACAGTGTCACTTGATCAAGGTGCAGTGGGCTACCGACCACTGAAATCAATATTACAACTAAGCCTAGATCCGTTACCTCTCAATACCTGGCACATGCTTTGCGATCACATGCTCATAATAACCTGCTGATTTATTACATATTTTGTAGATAACCTGAGGCGAAAAATGTATCCCCATTTATCGACTCGTGACTATTTTTTCAGATATGATGTATGTTACAAACAGACTTTGAACGGGCACCTGTTCAAATTGTACCATAAACCTGACAGATACTTGGTATTCAGTTTTCAGCCTGCGCACTAATTATGATTTAGAAATGATAAACCCAAACAGATTTTTCCTGATTTGACGGTAGATTGCCATACAACAGATCATCTTTGATTGAGTTGCTGTTTGTGAAAGGGGAGATAATCGGTTAAAATTGCAACAAATCAACATTGAATTCTGTTAGAAGTTGACAGTTAAGTTCCATATTTTTTGTATGAGCCTGGTTGTTAGAAGAAAAAAGTAGGTGTTCAAAATGTGGATGGAGTCCCATGGGGTGTGGTTGATTGAAGTCACACATGAGAACTATAAAATTTGTCTGCTTTAAACTAATATTAGATCACAATGAAAAAAATTAAAGATTATTTTTCAGCTGTAACTTAGAACCAGTAATCTCACCACAGTCACAGGGATGTGAAAATTTGATATTTTGGGTTGTGACACATGTACATAGTAAAGAATTTGGTTAACATTGCAAGCAATGAGGGTATTTTTAACTGAACAGTATTTTTTTGCAAAAGTGATATTAATTCTTAAACACTTCCTTAATGTTCCGTATTTTGTATAAATCTACAAAGAATTAGGTCCTGGAATGTTAATGAAAAACTCCTGGAAGTTTGTCAAGCAAAAACTTGTCAACTATGAACATGCATGAATAAATACAAGGGAAAAAAGACATCTCGTCACAGATCTGTTATAAATATGGAACAACAGCTAGACTTGTGACATACTTAGCCTCATCAAGAAATGTTTAACTATTTAGATAGTTCCTCGACCATCACTGGAAAAATCAACCAAAAGGCTGTATAATTACAGTGAACCAAATGTGTAAAATATCTCCAATTAAAGCTGTGACCATATCTTATATCACTAAATGGTTTTATTTGTTACACAATTCTTTAATTAACAATGACTTCCCAAGTAATATGTCCATGTTGATTGCAGTATCATTCGGGTGTTGTTATTGATCATAATGATCTGACAGCAAAGAAATTTACAAGTCTTATAGTCAGAAGAAGATCTGTGTATCTGCATGGCGTAAAAATGATCTTGTTCCTGTATTCTTATAGGCTGACACTGTCTTCAACCTACGACGACCTTACGACCTCGTGGCTTTCATGAAGCAGGATGAGCGGACAGAGATGCTGGAAGGCCTTAAGGCAGAATTACTGACGAGAAAAGATGAAATTGATAGAAATGAAGACAGAGACACAGGCTTAGAACAAAGGTTTTACAAAACAGATCCAGACTGTTTAAAAGCAGGCAAACCACTGCCTGAATTTGACCTGTATATAAGCACTGTACTACCACTTGAAAACAAAGGTATCAGGTAAGTATTTAAGCTACCAACTTTAACAGTTATTTTGTTGAGCAAATATGAAAGAATGGCAAATTTGTAATCCACATAGTCTAGATATGTATTTCTGCAAATACAGATTTCCATCGTGTGAAATATGTAGACACATTCAAGGAATAACTTTAAAGGTGTAAAAGTGATCTTGTATAATTCAACTTTTCTCTGAACACTTTTAGGAGAATCTTAATAAAATTGCTTTTTAATTTGATTAAAACAAAAGTTAAATATTGTCACCATTTATACAATTATGGTTCATCTTATTTTGCTTGTTATATTTTTGCTGCCTGTGAACAATGTGTACAGAGACTTGCTTGTACTTTCAGACCTGAGGAGCACATAGATGTGAACCAACCCCTCCATAGTATACATTCCCCACCTGATTGTACTCTCTTCTCAGAACTTGACTACAGCATTCATGCCTTTGAGCATTTAGAGGTAAATTTTTGTCTTTATTTTTTTTCTGTAAAGTCAGCAATTTTTTGTGGGGATTTAATTTCACTGAATTAGCTATTACCTCAACTTTCATTTCCATAGAATCATTCACAGAAATGTGTAATAGTCATTGACCATGAAATTGAGCTTAGAAAATGTGTGATTTCACAGTATGCATGTGTCATATACAAAAAAATTCTTAAAGACAACCAAAAAAACCCGACATGATAGATAAAATCGCAACCTTAATTTGGAATGGATGAAACAAGGACAAAACATGAACCACAAAAAGATTTACGGAGAAGTTCCCTGAAATGAAAATATTTGAAGAATAAGACAAGGATTTTGGTAAAGTTAAGTGTCCTCTACTTCATTGGCAACACCCATCACGTTAATCTTTTATGTCACGTTCTCAAATGAGAACAAGGTTAATAACAACACGACCTCAAGGCATACTTACAGGCATATCCTTCACATTGAACAAGGAAGTAGAGTATCTCTCATTGAGATCATGGTGTTGACTATTTAAAAAAAATGCATGACCTTTATTAGCCATCATCTCTCTGATCCCTTTATGATAAAGTTTACTTGTCTGCGGGGTTTGTAGGAAATGCAGTTGTGTGGTGGCTGGTTGTGGGAAACATCTGAAAAATGTTGGTATGATACCTGATATTTTGTTTACTTGGTATCTAGGGTATGAAAGTTAGTGATATGTTATCAGGGACACATGAGCTATGTTGCTATGATATCTGATATTTTGTTTACTGGTTTCTAGGGTAAGAAAGTATGTGACTGGTTGTCAGGGAAACTTCAGCTAGGATGCTATGATACCTGATATTTTGTTTACTGGTTTCTAGGGTAAGAAAGTATGTGACTGGTTGTCAGGGAAACTTCAGCTAGGATGCTATGATACCTGATATTTTGTTTACTGGTTTCTAGGGTAAGAAAGTATGTGACTGGTTGTCAGGGAAACTTCAGCTAGGATGCTATGATACCTGATATTTTGTTTACTGGTTTCTAGGGTAAGAAAGTATGTTGCCAGTTGTGACAACTGACTTAAGATGCAATGACATCTGACATTTGGTTTACTTGGATTTTAGGGTATGAAGGTACGTGACCTGTTGTCAGGGACACCTGAGCTATGTTGCTATGATACCTGATATTTTGTATACTGGTTTCTAGGGTATGAAGGTACATGACCTGTTGTCAGGGACACCTGAGCTATGTTGCTATGATACCTGATATTTTGTATACTGGTTTCTAGGGTATGAAGGTACGTGACCTGTTGCCAGGGACACCTGAGCTATGTTGCTATGATACCTGATATTTTGTTTACTGGTTTCTAGGGTATGAAGGTACGTGACCTGTTGTCAGGGACACCTGAGCTATGTTGCTATGATACCTGATATTTTGTTTACTGGTTTCTAGGGTATGAAGGTATGTGACCTGTTGTCAGGGACACCTGAGCTATGTTGCTATGATACCTGATATTTTGTATACTGGTTTCTAGGGTATGAAGGTACGTGACCTGTTGCCAGGGACACCTGAGCTATGTTGCTATGATACCTGATATTTTGTTTACTGGTTTCTAGGGTATGAAGGTACGTGACCTGTTGTCAGGGACACCAGAGCTGGGTCTGAAGAATGCCATAATCTACCAAGATGATGTAGACCAGTATGGTAGTAGAGTGTACCATGCCTTACTCAAGGTAAACCTTTTCAAGGTCTTATTGGCTTCATAAGGATTCTACATTTTGGAACTTTAAACACATAATATTACATTTTCAATCTTTGTCTAAATAAATTAAATATTTTCATATATTTTGATATCTAAGGTTTTAAAATGGAAATAATTTATTTTTCAAGGAAGAAAGAATTTTTAATTTGTAATAAGACATCTTCCTGTGGTATTTTTTCAGAATGACACTTCGTGGGTGTTGTATAACATGGCTGCATTTTATTGGAGGATTAAAGGTGATCCGTACCAGGTGATAGAGTGTGTGAGACGGGCCCTACATTACTCTCCCAGGTGAGAAAAGCATGATGAAATGCATTGGAGGGGCCCTAATTTGGAAAGCCAATGTGCAATGCTAATATCATGTGACTTGCTAATCATTGATACATTCAAAGTGACTTGCTAATAGCTAACCATTTAATACAGAATGATTTTTGTAAGTATGGTATGACCCCCACCTCCCTTTTAGATATCAATCATGCTATGAATTAATGATATTTTGTGGCATTTGGAATCTTTGGCAGACTGAAATGTGCTGCGTGAAATAGGTATAAAGTAATTTCCTTGTGCTAATTTCTTTCACGACACCATCCATTGCTTGCTGTCTGAAAAAAGAGGACATGGTCTCAAGGTTTAAGACCAAAATCATTGTTACTATAAATAGAAAATTGGTTTGTAGATATTATATTGGGTTTCGGTTGTTGGTTGAGTTATAATGGCTACTTCCTTATGTTAGAATTACCAATTATCACAAAGATGTTTTATTGGCTGGTATTCCACCAGGTTTGATATTTTCATTCATAGGTAAATTAAATTGCACTTTCATATTCTGAGTAACCATGACAGCAATATCAAACAACAATTTCTTGTATAATTCATGTATTCCCGCTTGGTAACACTTTCACCTGATGTATTCTGGAAAACAATTTGTAGAAAGTAGTGCATTGCATTGTACTGGTAGACAGTAATTGCCATGAATTGTCCAGTTGACTGTTCTTTGTTAACTACAGACACCAGAAGGATGTCGCCTTAATCAGTCTAGCCAATGTCCTACATCGAGCACGCTATTCCAATGAGGCAGCCATTGTTGTTCATGCAGCCCTAGACATCTCTAAAGAACGAAATGTCAACCACTTCACTCTTGGAAATATCTATGCAGTAAGTTGATGTTCACAACTTTCTGCGATTAAGTAGGCGTAAAATAGATTAAGATTTATACCTTCATTTAATACAGATATTAAGATTGTTTTTCTGAGAGAGGTAACCAGTGACTTGTATGAACTTTGACTTATGCTCATTGTGATATAAGTAATATAACCACAAGGTACCAGCAGAACTTTGACCCAGTTAATTAAGATATAGGTACTTCTAGAGTAAAGTAGGTGAACTTTGACCTTCCTTATTGTGTTTCAGGTACTGGCAGAATACAATAAATCTGTGATCTGCTTTGAAAATACTCTGAAGATCCAACCTGACTTTGAGGCGGCAGCAAAACGCAAACATGCTGTTCACTGCCATTCTAAACTTGAAAATGCTTTGGAAGCTCAGCACAGGTAATATATGTAACATAACCATTATGAAATATCATAAGTTGTATCTTAAAAGAACTTGTTAAAAAACTCAGATGTCCAAGTCTTTTGAAATAACGAATAGCAATGTGAAATCTCTGAGTCAATTGACTTTGTGATAGCTTCAGAATGGAACTTCCCAGAAATCAAAACAATATGTTATATCAATGATATACATCCTAACTGTTCCTGAATATGTGTCCCCATGGTGTATTTCAGATGTTGATTCATAGCAACCATTATGTTGATGATGAGACTGCTTTTCTTTAAATTGTTTTTTAAATTTTTAAATGAATGATTTAAGATATAAAACAAATTCTGTGATTGTGTTTTGTGTAATGTTGAAGTTATTGTCTCTAAAATATTCTTTATAATCTATAAAGAATCAAACACAAAGATATCAATTGTTATCAGATTGATTCAGGAGATTGTAGGTCATCCTTCCCGATTTATTAGTGCATGGCAAGAGTCATGTAGGATTTATATTATTGAGCTGTAGATTTTTAAATTTCGTGTATTTTTACCTTCATGTAGAATCAAAATACACAAAAGTCTGATACAATTCCTAGGATTTCTGCTATCAGAGTAATTTTTCAGCTTGTAAACCCATTCTGAAATATTTGTTTTATTTTTCAGGTCACTTCAAAGAACACTGAATGATCTAAAGGACTACCAGAAAAAACATGATTTTTGGCAGAACCAGAATGAGAAACTTTTATCAGAACAGGTGTCAAATGAAGTCAAACTACTGCAGCGTAAAGCATTTGAATCCTTCAAGATACGGGACTCCACTATAGATATAGGTGTAGTACCAAATGTTTTTACTTATAACTTATAGATTTTTGTTAAAATAATTTCATAAGGACAAAGTCCAAAATTTCAAAGAAATTCTTGCAGTTCAAAGAACCTACCAAATCTACAGTATAATTTTCCTTAGAAAAGGGGTTGAGCAGTCCTTGTTTCATGAATGGTGTTTAAATACAAGAAAGCTAAATATTACTATGGTTTTAAACTGTTGTGTAGGTGAATACTGTCGCATGGTGGACCGTGAGGGGAAACAGGTGCTCATGTGCACATGGGGAAAGAAGGCCTCCATTGTCGAATACTATGAGATACAGGAAGAAATTGTGGATGCTACATCTCTAAAAGAGGGCAAACAGGTCAGCTATACAATAGAACTCACTTCTTTGTACACAGCACCAAAGATTGAACTGATGTTCCCACCCAGTGATCACAATTGTAGTGGACTATAAATATCATACATAAAATTGAAAAATAACAGGTTTATAGGACATGATTTAATAGATTCTTTACACCTCTCATATCTTTAGATAGGAAAGGAGGAAAGAGTTAATGTCAAATTTTATTTTGAATGAACTTCAATTAAATTCTACAAGTTGACTTGTAGCTTAAAGTTTACTAGAGCACAAATAGGCTTGTAGCTCACAGTTTACTGGAACGCTGATAAACTGGTAGCTCACAGTTTACTGGAGCACAGAAAAGCTTGTAGCTTACAGTTTACTGGAGCACAGATAAGCTTGTAGCTCACAGTTTACTGGAGCACAGAAAAGCTTGTAGCTTACAGTTTACTGGAGCTCAGATAAGCTTGTAACTTACAGTTTACTGGAGCACTGATAAGCTTGTAACTTACAGTTTACTGGAGCACAGAAAAGCTTGTAGCTTACAGTTTACTGGAGCGCTGATAAGCTTGTAACTTACAGTTTACTGGAGCACAGATAAGCTTGTAACTTACAGTTTACTGGAGCACAGATAAGCTTGTAACTTACAGTTTACTGGAGCACTGATAAGCTTGTAACTTACAGTTTACTGGAGCACAGAAAAGCTTGTAGCTTACAGTTTACTGGAGCGCTGATAAACTGGTAGCTCACAGTTTACTGGAGCACAGAAAAGCTTGTAGCTTACAGTTTACTGGAGCACAGATAAGCTTGTAACTGACAGTTTACTGGAGCACAGAAAAGCTTGTAGCTTACAGTTTACTGGAGCACAGATAAGCTTGTAACTTACAGTTTACTGGAGCACAGATAAGCTTGTAACTTATAGTTTACTGGAGCACTGATAAGCTTGTAACTTACAGTTTACTGGAGCACAGAAAAGCTTGTAGCTTACAGTTTACTGGAGCACAGATAAGCTTGTAACTTACAGTTTATTGGAGCACTGATAAGCTTGTAGCTTACAGTTTACTGGAGCGCTGATAAACTGGTAGCTTACAGTTTACTGGAGCACAGATAAGCTTGTAGCTCACAGTTTACTGGAGCACAGATAAGCTTGTAGCTTACAGTTTACTGGAGCACAGATAAGCTTGTAACTTACAGTTTACTGGAGCACAGAAAAGCTTGTAGCTTACAGTTTACTGGAGCGCTGATAAACTGGTAGCTCACAGTTTATTGGAGCACAGATAAGCTTGTAGCTTACAGTTTACTGGAGCGCTGATAAACTGGTAGCTCACAGTTTACTGGAGCACTGATAAGCTTGTAGCTTACAGTTTACTGGAGCACTGATAAGCTTGTAGCTCACAGTTTACTGGAGCACTGATAAGCTTGTAGCTTACAGTTTACTGGAGCTCAGATAAGTTTGTAGCGTACAGTTTACTGGAGCACTGATAGCCTTGTCAGAGGAATACTTCAATTAAAGTTTACTTTTCTGATGTTTCACCTTTTACTGTAGAAAATTGTGGATATTAAAAATAACAAAACTGGGACGATAATCTGACTGTTTTGACAGGAAAACTTCCACAAGAGAATAGCCATTACTGTCAAGGGACCAAACAAAACTTATTTATGCGATCGTTTTCATAAGAGGCCATCTTAGAAATTTTCTGAAACTTATCTCTGAATTTAGATTTCGAGATTAATCATCAGCATCACTTGTTTATCCCTCACGAAAAGCATTTGCAGTGGATTTTAATTTGGGTTCCCTGTGTTACTGAGTGTGTGTGCACATCCGTCCAAGGGCTTTTTCTGGCTATAACTTCAAAATTATTCAACTCAACTTCACAGAACTTTCTGTATATATTAGATTAGTGCCCTAGTGGTACCTTTTGCTATTGTTTTCTATTACCATGGAAACATTGTCAAAAACCACAAAATTAGTGATAACATTCCTTTCCAGGCTTCAAATTTGAAACCATTCCACTCAACTCCACAAAACTTTCTGTACATATTAGGTTAATGCCCTAGTTAAAATTTTTTTGTTATCATGGAAACAAATAACCCACATCACAAATTTCAAATTTTCTGGGCCAGTTCTCTGAAACAGTACAAGATAATTGCTCAAAACTTTTTACACTTATTAAGCTGCTAGTAAATTTCGCTATGGGGAAATTTACCATCTTATTAGATTTTCTGTTGCCATGGAAACAGGCCAAATAAAAAAGGGTTTTTTTTCAAATCAGTTCTCTTACAGCGTAAAGTAATTACCCAGTACTCAAAACTTTGTACAGGCATCAAGCTAATACCCGAGTATAAGCAGTCCATGTCAATACTTTGTATGGAACAATTAAAAATATCAAATAGAAATTCAACTTGATGTAATATTAACATATATATGTGATTGCGCATCTTTCCTTTAAACAGCGGGACGTGGGGGATAATTTCACGTTTAGTGCTGTCTTGTTAGATGTTCTCTTTATCATGGAGGTGTATAAACATGATATAGAAACACTCAGGTAGATGTATGTCTCAACACCTATGGCACCTAATATCCCAGTGTGTATGTGTTAACATTACAGCTCACTAATACAAGGGATGAGAGACTCTCCACCACTGACTACTCTAAACCTGTGCGTGATCCTCTCTTCACTAAGGATGGACGTGACAAAGAGGCCACTGTTAAAGTAGGTAATAGGGTCAATGCTCATTGAACTAGTCACTTATAGAGAAACAGTTGTGGAGGAAGGTTTACTAAAATGTTACTCATGGCTTCCCTTCCAAACATTGGATCTGATACTGTCAAAGCTAAGGGCGATACAAAAATTGTCTTGTAATAAGTCTTAGTCTGATAATAAGTCTAGACATATCTGTTTCAGTTTTGTCAGAGATACCATGGGCTTATCGCAGAGTATTTATGTATAGATGTTGTGAATATTAGTTACGTGGGCTTATCGCAAAGTATTTATGTATAGATGTTGTGAATATTAGCTCTCTAGGCATATTGCAGAGTATTCATGTATAGATATTGTGAATATTAGCTCTCTAGGCATATTGCAGAGTATTCATGTATAGATGTTGTGGATATTAGCTCTCTAGGCATATCGCAGATTATTCATGTATAGATATTGTGAATATGATGAAGAAACCAGTATTCTGCGATATATAGGTTCAATATAAATTATGTAGTGTTTACTGGAGATTAGCATGCGAGTACAGGTGTTGTGTGACATACTGTGATTAATGAAGGGTAGTTTTATCATTGATGTATTGTTTTGTGTGATAACCATATATATCTATTGTTTAATAGAGTGTTTGGTGTATATTTTATGAAGAATACTATTTACAAATCCATCTGTGTTGATTACTAAGATTTTGATACATTTTGATTTATAGATGCCCCTGCTGGATGATGATTGGCCCAGTAAAGAAGAGTGTGACACCCACGTTCAGAAAGTCCCTGATCCACGCAACCTTTCCATGATATATCTCTCCCCAGAAAATAAAGGTTTTGAGTAAGTATTCATAGAAAATATGGAATTCTGTTCAGTATTCCAAAAAAATATGGAATTCTGTTCAGTATTCCAAAAAAATATGGAATTCTGATTAGTATTCCTAGAAAATATGGAATTCTGATTAGTTTTTCTAGAAAATATGGAATTCTGATTTGTATTCGTAGAAAATATGGAATTCTGATTAGTATTTCCAGAAAATATGGAATTCTGATTTGTATTCGTAGAAAATATGGAATTCTGATTAGTTTTCCTAGAAAATATGGAATTCTGATTTGTTTTCCTAGAAAATATGGAATTCTGATTTGTTTTCCTAGAAAATATGGAATTCTGATTAGTTTTCCTAGAAAATATGGAATTCTGATTAGTTTTCCTAGAAAATATGGAATTCTGTTCATTATTCCCTGAAAATATGGAATTCTGATAAGTGTTCCCAGGAAATATGGAATTCTGATTAGTTTTCCTAGAAAATATGGAATTCTGTTCATTATTCCCTGAAAATATGGAATTCTGATTTGTTTTCCTAGAAAATATGGAATTCTGATTAGTATTCCTAGAAAATATGGAATTCTGATTTGTTTTCCTAGAAAATATGGAATTCTGATTTGTTTTCCTAGAAAATATGGAATTCTGATTAGTTTTCCTAGAAAATATGGAATTCTGATTAGTTTTCCTAGAAAATATGGAATTCTGTTCATTATTCCCTGAAAATATGGAATTCTGATAAGTGTTCCCAGGAAATATGGAATTCTGATTAGTATTCCTAGAAAATATGGAATTCTGTTCAGTATTCCCAAAAAATATGGAATTCTAATTAGTATTCCTAGAAAATATTGAATTCAGGTTAGTATTCCTAGAAAATATGGAATTCTGATTTGTTTTCCTAGATGGAATTCTGTAGTATTCCCAGAAAATATGAATTCTGATTAGTATTCCTAGAAAATATGGAATTCTGTTCAGTATTCCCAGAAAATATGGAATTCTGATTAGTATTCCTAGAAAATATGGAAATCTGATGAGTTTTCCTAGAAAATATGGAATTCTGATAAGTATTCCTAGAAAATATGGAATTCTGATTAGTTTTCCCAGAAAATATGGAATTCTGATTAGTATTCCTAGAAAATATGGAATTCTGATAAGTTTTCCCAGAAAATATGGAATTCTGATTAGTATTCCTAGAAAATATGGAATTCTGATTAGTATTCCTAGAAAATAATGAATTCTGATAAGTGTTCCCAGAAAATATGGAATTCTGATTAGTATTCCTAGAAAATATGGAATTCTGTTCAGTATTCCCAGAAAATATGGAATTCTGATAAGTTTTCCCAGAAAATCATTTGACTTAAACAAAAAAGATTTGGGGTAGGGTCTATGTGGAGGGCTGGACACATGATGATCACCCTATCACCTTCATACAGGGCTAACAGATTCAAGACTGCTTCTTTGCTATTTAGCTCTTCCAAGATGGATGTTGCTTTTGTTGTCATCTCTGGTGTTAGTGTTACAGAGTATCAATGTTATTTTCATTACCATCAATTCTATGTTATTTCCCTTCATCATGAATGAATACAGCTTTGGGAAAAGGCTGTCCACAAGACCAATATGAAATCTTTATTGTCATAGAAACTTAAATAGGATTTGGTTTTGTTGAAACTCCTGTTTGAATCTCTCTAAGATAATTGAATCCCACCAGCAGATTGTGTCAAAAAGAAAACACTTGTTCTATGATAATTGAATCACACCAGCAGATTGTGTAAAAAAGAAAACACTTGTTCTATGATAATTGAATCACACCAGCAGATTGTGTCAAAAAGAAAACACTTGTTCTATGATAATTGAATCACACCAGCAGATTGTGTCAAAAAGAAAACACTGGTTCTATGATAATTGAATCACACCAGCAGATTGTGTAAAAAAGAAAACACTGGTTCTATGATAATTGAATCACACCAGCAGATTGTGTCAAAAAGAAAACACTGGTTCTATGATAATTGAATCACACCAGCAGATTGTGTAAAAAAGAAAACACTTGTTCTATGTTATGCTTACATTTCTGCATTATAATCTATGAGTAAACACTGAATCCAACCAAATATGTTCTAAAACAGTACTTTATCAAAACACTTTTGATGCTGTTTAAAGTTTTCTTGTTTTCATATAATTAAGCCCATTTTCTTCAATGCTCTTTCTTCAAAGTGTTCAAACTCACAGTCCTCACAGCCTTGTGATACAGGTTTACCCAGGACACAGTAGACTGATTCTGTAACAACAGCTAGATAGATCCCTGTTCCATATGTAATCATTGCCTTACTTCCTCCATCCTATCAACATTTATAAAGGATGTGCTTTCAGGAAATATTTACAGGAAAAAGACACTTCAGTTAAACTTGTATGATGCAGGATATTATATTCAGGAATAACAATAACAGGAAACAATTTAATAAGGAAGTGTATGTTTTCCTGAAATGTGAGGGTTTTGGATACCAGACACTTGTTAATTGTTGTGTTTTCTATACCAAAGTAAGATGAAACACAGGGAAATAAAATCAAAAAAACTCCAGGAAGATGGATTTATCAGTCATTATTGGTACCATATTTACCCTGCATTACAACCCAGTGTAGTGTTATTGTCCTGTAATAAACCCACCCATCAATGTTGTCCTTCTGTAAAATTCATTTGGCAAATAATTTACAGCAGATAAAAGGAAATGAGAGAAAAAGGGGAACAATACGATGTGACATAGAACCTATAAAGATCATACGATGGTGAACATCTAGATCCCTCTAAAATCTCTTGTTTTACATTTCTTAAATGCACTTATGCCTTACATAATTATGAAAAAAAAATTTCAATGTCTTTTAATTTACTTCATTAAAATTTAAACTATAATGAGAGCATGTAATATTTCTTTCATTTTGTCTGTGTCTTTATATGATGTTTCATGTATTGATGAGGTATAAGTAACGAACTTTCTCTGCTGTAGGGTAAAGGCCCTACTGACAGAGGCTCAAAACCTGACCCCTGGGGACGAGCACCCACTACCCTGGTACCCTCCAGTGTGTGTTCCTCTGGAGGAGATTCCCGAGGGAAGTGCGAAGAGTTACGACCATATCAAATCTGTAAGCAGGGAGGAACGCACAAGGATGCCACTCAAAATGTCTGACAAGTCAATCCGTCAGGTGAGAATAGACTAAGTGTTTTTACATTTACCTCGAAAAGTTTTTTGGCATCTTTTGTTTTTTGAAATTGTTAAAATATTTAAATTTCAAATACATTATTAGATGTGTCAGATTTGATATACAGATAATTTTTGTAATCATGGTCAATTGTTCTCAAAGATATTTTCAACCTTTGTTATGTTGTGGTGTGTTACAGACATTGCTGAACCATGTGAATGGTGGAGTGGTAACAGAGGAGGAAGTCGGACAGAGGATACTGACAGCTCTCAAAAAGGTAACCTCTAATAGCAACAATCATTTGTTTGTTGCCATAAGTTATAACTGCACAATATTTAAGTGAACAAGTCTGTCTCTGCTATTTTCGTGTTCTGGCATGGTGATTTTTATCAAATTCTTTGACTACACTTTCTATATTGATTTATAAAAAAAAAATCAAATATTGATATTCTTATCTATAGGTATTGATGTCTTACAGATATTTTCTTGCACTTCATGTTTTTACGTTCCCGCAGAGTGTAGAAGTTGATTGAGGTCACCAGAATCAGAATGTCTATCTCTTTGTTGGTTAATAGTAATGCCCTGTTCCCTCTCTACCTATAACTAGAAACTTAATACACAGGAGTATCATTCCAGACATCTTTGTTGTGAAAAATTGTTCATGTAGTCTGTACCTACAGTGGTTGATAGTTGATTGATGGCTATTAGACTAGGAATGTTTTACTTAAACAATTTCATCGTTGATGGTATCGATTGTTTCTCTGTTTGTTTCAGAATGTTGGCCCTAAATGGATGCTGTACAATTTGGCAGGAATGTACTGGCGTATCATTGGCAATAATTACCATGGTATTGAGTGTATACGACGTTCTCTGGTTTATGTCCCGGACAAGTACAAGGATGTACCCCTCGTTAACCTCGCTAATATCCTTTACCGCTGGGGTCGCTATGATGATGCTGTCAAGGTCATGAGGGATGCTCTCAATATCAGCGATATTGAAGTAGGTCAAGGTCATTAAAAGAAAGAACAATGGACAAATAGATAATAATGTACTGGTAACCATGTTTTTGATTTGTGAAAATAGATTAAATACTGAACCAAATTAATGTCTTCTGGAAAATTATTTTTGGACATATGACGCCTAGCATGGATATAATATGTAGCCAAATGAATTTGGAAATTCATAATTTTTGAAAGAAAACTTACACGTTATGATGTTTATTTCCAGTTCAGATCTGTATACACGTATAAGGAAATTTGTCTCCCTATTGTTTTCTAGCCTTCATCTCATTTCTTCTTCGGCAATGTGTTATGGGCATCCAAGAATTATACTGGAGCAGTGAAACACTACCAGATCTCACTGGAGATTCAGCCAGATAATCCAGAAGTGGTCAGTACCTTACGTGCCATAAAATGTTTCCAGCGGTACCACCAGGCAACACAGTCAGCAGCTCCACAGGAAACAGCACCTCCTGTACCCACTGCCAACTGTCAACCACGACCCTCTGCCATGGGAAAAGGAAAAGAGACAGAAAGTAGAGTCATTTGTAAACGGGTAAGTGATAGACATGAAGAGAAATGTCAAATAGAATATAATTGCAATTTAGAATCTTCTGGAAATTGGGAGATAATCTGATAAAGCCTACTTGTTCCCCTTGATGAGATGAGGCTTAATATTGTCTTTCAGTGCCATTATTATCTCTTTACTTTTGAGGATACTGAAAGTTAGCTTACTTTAAAGGTTCATTTCAAAGTTGTTTTTAATTTTCGAGATATCTTCAAGGGAGAAATGAAATTATGTAAAATAGATATGATATACAATAAAGTCAATTAGAAACAGAATTATAGTTTTTTTTCCTTGAGCTTTGGAAATAACATCACCTTACAACATGAAATATTGTTATCTTTTGTGATAAATTCTAGAATGTTTGATTTATTTACAGGAGAATGGTGAAGAGAAGTGTGTGATTGAGACTCGGAGTCGCAGCAAGTCTGGGGAATGTAATGGTCACTGTACCCAAACCTGTACGGTAACTCCCATCAAACTAGATAGCTGTGCAGGGGACATCCATCCTTCAGGGGAACTCCAAGTCTGTAAGTGTCATGTCATTTAACAGAACTCCTACCATGTAAATGTCCTCTCATAAAGAGAGATCTTAGTCTGTAAAACTCCTGTCATAAAGGGAACTCCCAGCCTGTAAATGCAAAGTCTTACAGAGAAATTCCCAGTCCAGATGTGTCAGCTTATGTCAGGGGAAATCCTTGCCTGTATTTACATTATCATATCTTTTAACCCCAGAAGAAGTAATAAGTGAAAAAATTCAGTCGTTAATTAAACTGAAATTACTGTCATTTCACTATGTATTTCAAAAATTGTTCAACTGTCAAATGTACAACAATTGTGTCATCTTTGGGACTGATCATCCTTTAGTGTAAATATGTTATAAGCTACTTCATTTAATATAAAAGAGAGGAAAGTGAATGATAGATGTGTTTCCTCAACAGTGAATGGAGATGGGGGACAATGTCCGTCAGCTAAGACTCAGGTGTCTAACGGAGGACCAGAGGAACCTACATGTAAGTATTGGTAGCTGCAGAAACATTGGGCTGTACTTACCTAGTTCTCCACAAAGTAAGCCTTTCTTCTCTTCAGTCATATATCTAACAGAAGGCATTCAGTTATTTTTGGTTTGAAAAGTTATAAAATTCAGCAATTTTCAGCATTAGTCTATAGTACAACCATATCTATTGTACACTTCTCCAACTTACATGGTTGAAACTACAAAAGGAAGTTGAATGACCAATGGCCATTATCAAGCCTACCAGAGTGGTCTTAAATTCATCCGGTCAAGATATTATGAGCCAAAACTGATTAGAAGTAAACGAGAAGTGACCAAGGGTCAAGGTGATCAGATCAATTGTTAAAGTGAAAGTAAGGTTATCTGAGTGACTTGTGAGTATGGGGGATATATGATCGTATTACAATGGGGCTTGACTGTCTTTTGTTATTAATATCTATAGTGTATTCAATAAATTTATAATTTTGTGTTTTATATAATAGATAAACATGAAATCATTGCACAAAAAAGAAAAATACATTTTGATAAAAATGACCATAATGTAAAAAGAATGTTTCAAAGGTTTCTGAAATTTTGAATGGAAAAGCTCAATAGAGACAAATTAGCATTAAGATCTGTCCAGATAATGGTTCCTAGAGTTCCTATCATACCATGATATTTATTCTGTGATTTAACTCACTGAATGACTGTATATTTCAGTTGGTAGTGACTTCAGCACCAAGTTAGATGAGATTAGTGAGTACTATCTCACCAAGGGGGTTTGTCATGGTGAGGAGTGCAGTCAACTACGTGTCCAGGTAGGTCAGGGGAGACAACTCCTCTCTGTATAGTCAAATTGTGTAATATTTACACAGTGGTAATAGCATGAAAAATGGCTTATGTAAATTGTAATATATATATGACTTACATGGCTACATATCAACACCATCTAAAGGAAGATACATCAGAATATTTGTATGTGCATTATAAAATCTGGAGCACGTAAGGGGAGATAACTAATATCAGAAATACATTAGTTAGTTATTAAATAACACAGAAATAGCAATAAATCTCAACCGCCATGTGATTTGCATGAAGTGTGAAAAGGGAAATAAATTCATGGCAGTTTTACTTCATTACAGTTAAAGCATGAAAAGGGAAATAATTTATTCTCAATTACTGTATGATTACGGTGTTGAATATGGGGATCTAGTGATTATAGCCAGGGTTTGAGAGACATTTCATATTGTTTAGTTATAAAAAGAATTTTCAAAGACCTTAGTATCAATTCAAAAGAAAAGTGTTCCCAAACGTAGTATATGGTCAGAATTAATAGTTTCTCCCAAAAGTACTTGTTGCTGTACAATTATTCCGCAAATGATCGGATACCGTTTAGTGCATGTTCAGTGCCTGGCCATTACATATGACAATTATATTATACACAATATACTGAAGTTAAACATAAATTGTATGGACTCAGTAAGTGTATTTGATAAATATAACATGATTGCAATCTATTTAGTGTAGACAAAGATAGACTAGATACCTTTTTGTTTATGCATGTTTTTGCATGTGTAATAAGGGGACTATAGAATATATTTTATGTCAAGAAAACTTTTTTCATAAATCAAGGTATACCAGGTATGTCAATTTCATTAATTAAGGTATATGTCGTTAACCTATTGTGGTAAAACTTTCAAGCATTGACATATGCAAATATTGAATCAAATTTAATTTATCAATTTTCAGATAAAGATTCATTTTTCTCTTTTACAAACAAACTTCTTCTGTAAGTTTTAAACAAAACAAATGTTTACTGAAAGGCTCAGAATGATAAAAAAATTGATAGAAAAAAATCTAGATTACCAGTTGTTATCAATTTTTATCGGTCTTTAATTATTTTACCTAAAATATGATAAAGAATATAAAGTTATCCAAATTGTACAGATTATTACTAGTATATATCTGGTTCTTACTGTTAGGTATCGTAATGTTTACCTGTAAGGTGTATTTTGTTTACCTGTTAGGTATCATAATGTTTACCTGTAAGGTGTATTTTGTTTACCTGTTAGGTATCATAATGTTTACCTGTAAGGTGTATTTTGTTTACCTGTTAGGTATCATAATGTTTACCTTTAAGGTGTATTTTGTTTACCTGTTAGGTATCATAATGTTTACCTGTAAGGTGTATTTTGTTTACCTGTTAGGTATCATAATGTTTACCTGTAAGGTGTATTTTGTTTACCTACTTGGCAGTGTGATAAACCATAAAGGATCATTGTTATCAAGTATCCTGCTACATGTTATTCAAGTGAGTGACATCGAAACTGTGTTAATTTTTTCCCATACAGATCAATTGGTTTGTGTTTTATGTTTTAATCTTTCTTTTTAACATCAGAACCTGTCCTATTTGAAAACTAAAGCACTTTCTGTTTAATGCCTAATGTGTTAAACAAGTATATATATATATATAGCTTGAAGGAATTTTGTTGAAATAGATTTCTTTTGAAATAGCAAAATGTCATTCATAGATTTCAGTTGGAGTTTTAGAAAAGACTAAACGGATTTAAACTAGATATACAGGTTTAAAGAAAATATTCCTGAATATTAGATTTGGGATTTCAACTTCCTTATTTCATTCTGAGGTATACACTTTCACACTGTCTATAATGATACATATGATCTGGTAACATGGGTTTCCTGTGGAGAGGTTGTATCCTATTATAAAGTTTTGATGTTCTTTCAAGTTTTTTTCCAATTTTTTTAGGAGTTGTACAATAGAGTTGTTTATAACAGGTATGGGAGTTGTTACAGAATATTATGTAATGTGTGAATTTATTATCTCAGCTTAAGTCCAAAGCATCATTAGAATTCTAAAAGAAAATTTTAAATGCTGCCATGTTGGGTTGCTAGTTTCAGGGATGATGTAGAGTTGACTTCACTGAAGAACTGTAGTAGATCATATAACAAAATAGATTTTAATAGCACCAGAATTTCGATAAGCCTTCGATTGAAAACTTTGAATATCTTTTAAGGCATTTATGTTATATTTGAATTATGTAAACTGAGCACTTAGCTGATTAAGTTAGAGGGAAATATAGAACTGATAACATTGGATTGTTATAACTAGGAGTGAAATTCAATACAGAACGATATTTTTTTAAAAATAAAACTAAATTTTAATTTTGATAATTGAAGTTAATGTAGGGTAGTGTAAGTAATGGTGGTTATAATGTTTTACTTCATCATTGTCAATCGTGTTTATCTCCATTTATCAGGGTTAGTTAGTTTGGGACAGAGTTCGTTTTTGTTTGGTTTATGTTCATTTTGAGATCAAACCTTTTGTTGTTTTTGTTAGTTTATTTTAGGACAGAGATTTTTGTTTAATTTTTGGTTTGGTTTAATTAATGCTTTTATTAAGATATTTCGCATTGTGTGAACTGGTTGATATAGTTGTACTAATGAACACTGACTTGAGTTTGTGGCTAACTGCTGTATCTTATAGTGTTATATATAAGCACAAGTTATACTATCACTGTATTCTTGTTTCACATGTACCTATGCCCAGTCACCACTGGGTTGGTTCTCCCCACCCCTATCTTTGACAACAAATTCACAGATGTTCCTGTTCCCAGTCACCGCTGATTTAATTCTCCCCCCCACCCCCATTTTCGAAAACAACTTCACACTTGTTCCTGTGCTCAGTCACCCCTGAATTAATTCTCCCCACTCCCACCTACAACAACAACTACACACGTTCCTGTGTTGATTCACCACAGGCATATCTCTCCCCACCTCAGTTGCTGACAACACCTACACACATTACTCTAGCCAATCACCCTTGTGATAATTCTCCCTATCTCCACCCCTGACAACAATATTGACAAGTTTTTGTGTTGAGTCGCCCCAAGGATACACCCTAACTCCCTTCCATGTAAAGATCCCTGAAACATTTCCTTCGAGGCCTGTGTTATATATTATATAGAAGATTACAAAGACTTCTTATAATTGTTGTAATTTTTTCTAAATATGTTTTATACATCTAATGATGATGCTAAACATGTTGCCTCCTCCGTAAATTCTTAACAAATTTTTATTTTTACAGTAATCAGGGTCAAGTTAAAGACATTAACTAAATTAGCAATGAATAGATATACATTATTTTTTTGTGCTATTTTGTAAATTATGTAAATGAATTGTCAATAGCTTTCCTGTCAATATATTTGTATGTAAAAGCATTCTCTACTCATATTAGCCAGACATTAAGGTAGGTTGGTTATGTTGACGTCAGCAGTGGTACAGGAGCCTATTTGTATATGTTTCTGAGTAAAGTTTTATCAGTGTACTTGGCGTTGTGTGGGTCAAATTGTTCAACCTTGTTGATTGTTTTGTAGGTCAGTCAATGTTTTTTTACATTATTGATATAGTATTGATATAGTTCTGGAGCACAGCATATTTACAGTTCAACTTTTTGTGTGATTCAGATTTGATGTATTTTGGGGTTTTTGACAAGCTCTTTGGAAGTGAGTTTATGTTAACACTATTTCCTCAGGTAGTTTTTTGTGTGTCCAGTAAGAATTATGACAGTAGAAAGCCCTGCGTTCAGTGTTATTGCCAGGGAAATGAATTAATTCCTGTGTTGGTCACATTGTGTCATCTCCAGTGTTATGGTTTTAAAAGACTCTTATTGTTACCAGTTGAGATCAAGGTGGCACAAGGTCCTGTGCTTGTCAGTTAGATATTCATTTTGTGTGCCCACTGTTGGTTAATCAGCATCGTGATGGTGTAAGGCCCTGTGTTATACACTCCCTGATATCCCAGTGATTTTATGATACAGAGCCCTGTGTTATACAGTCAGTGATATCTCCAGTGATTTTATGATACTGGGCCCTGTGTTATACAGTCAGTGATATCTCCAGTGATTTTATGATACTGGGCCCTGTGTTATGCAGTCAGTGATATCTCCAGTGTTATACAGTCAGTGATATCTCCAGTGATTTTATGATACTGGGCTCTGTGTTAAGCAGTCAGTGATATCCCAGTGATTTTATGATACTGGGCCCTGTGTTATACACTCAGTGATATCTCCAGTGATTTTATGATCCAGAGCCCTGTGTTAAGCAGTCAGTGTTTTCCAGTTATGTGTGCTGTGTGTTATGGTACAGTGATGTATGACTTGGGTTGGACACACTATACAGCAGGGACATGTTTCTTGCAGTGTATGTTACCCACGAAGACTCAGTCCGGTTCGAACGCTCACGTCTCGCCTCCAAAACTTTTCATTCGCCCAGTATCACTGCATACAACACAGTGCATGGTAATGGTTTTTTACTTACTAAGTTTTCTTCTTACTGTCACTGCAAGATGTCCATAAGGTTTTAACCCTGTCTTTGCTTATACTTCTGTGTTCTTTTATCAAATGTTGATAACATTTTTCAATTTTTTTTTTTTTTTTTTTGGGTGGGGCGGGGATGGGGGTGAGGGCAGGATTATTGCTTGTAAATATACTGAAAATAAAAACAAATTAATTTTAATGTGATGCTGAATGAATTTGGCTGATGATAAATGCATTTTATGATGAATTCTTTTCATAAGATATACTCCTGTCATGCTTCAGTTTTTCAAAAGCATGTTTCTTTGAATAGCACTTTCTTTACTGGTTTGACTGCATACATTTTTAGATGGTTACAATCATTTAAAAGTTATCAAGTTTCCCTCAATTTTTCATGTTTATTGCAAAGTGTATTTTAATCTTTGGTTCTATTTTCTGTGTAAGAAGTTTTCCTTCAAATCAATAAACACAATTTAAACTTCTGAAAAACGTCTCTGCCCTTAGTCATCAGTACAATAGATTATTGTCCAAGTACTTGAAGTGTTTGACATAAAACATACTGATCTTGTAATTTTTTGGTGGTATACCTATTAAAAGTCATAACTTTTATTCAGCCGGATTAATTGTACATTTTCCTCTTTGTGTTTGTGGCTAGCGGGGCCATACAGCAAAATCACTTGGAGATTCTGCCAGAATCGTATTGAAACTCATTGATTTAAAGTAAAGTCTTGATATCAGTGTTTGTACAGCTAAAAGATAGTAGTGAATAACATATGGGATAGAGAATTTTTATTTGTTTTGTTAAATAAACATAAATGAGAAATATATCGCACAGCCTGTCAGTTTTGAGATACAATAGGCCTTTCATTAAGTTTCTTCCATCCAGTGGTGTTAACATAATTCTGAAAACCAATGGAAATGAAAATAAGTGTCAATTCCCTCTAGATTGTGTACATGTTAGTATGTCTCCTTTTTGAACTGAATTAATTGTTGTGGTTGTTGTTGTTGTTGTCGTCATCGCTGTTGTTTTACTACAATAGTGTCTAGCCTGTAACTTTGAAATCATTAAAAGTATCTCCGAGAAACAACAGTGCATCACATATAGATTTGTATATGAAATCAGTAATTTACAGTGTGACTGGGAACAGGGCCTTGTGTAGTGGCTGGAGTCATTATAAGTTAAAACTGTTAGACAGTAGAGATTTTGTTCTCATCTATGTGAATTCTACACCTGTGTCATTGTTGTGTCATGTGCACCGTATATTTCTATACATTAGCAGGCAATGCCGGCAACTCTTTTTATATATCTAAATATATGATAAGTCCCTGCACAACCTATGTTTATGACAGATATATTTTAATTATTAGCTTTATTATAAAGTTGTGAATTACTATAAATTAGACATTATGTACACGGAAGGCATACAGTATTTGTTACCTGGGAAACTGTAGGCATAAAATCATTACATTTACAACAATTTTAGAAATATTATGGGCAATGCTATAAACATCTTTGACAGTTCATTTACATGGTCAGGGCTGGTGTTTAAATCTTGTCAGAATCTGATCACATCAGCTTTTGTGTTTGATTTAAGTTCAAGGTCATGGATAAGTATCAAAGCCAAGTAATGGAAGTGGGTACCATGTAGTAATTAGGTTGTCTATCCGTACATCTGTCCGTTTTTTTATATGCCCATTAAAAAGTTTTGGCACAACACATTATGGTGTGGCATTGTCCTTTCATCCGTCTAAAACATCCATTTGCTTAGAGGTTTTGCCCAACAGTGTTTTTGACCAATCCCTTTCAAACATATTAGACTTAATCACCATGATGGAAGTTTGGTGGTGCAGTGGGAACATACTCACCTTTAACTTAGTCCTCCAGAGTTTCCCGATGGACACTAAAAGATGGCATAGTTTTGCAAGATACCCATATATGGCTTTATATAACGCTTTGTAGGCTTTCAAACAATAACATGAGATTGTGTAATCATGGAGAGCATGTTGATTCAACAATATTTTAAAGTGAATGTTCTTTGTCTTTTAAGAATTTTAATCATATTCAAAGATTTCTTCTTTCAGTTTTCAACTCATCTCTTTTGTTATGTTTTGTCTTCAGATCATTATATCTTAAAAATGTTATTTCCTTTTTGGCATTTTTACTCAATATTACCTTTCCACAACATTTTTTTTCTATTTCATTCAAAAAATCATGTCTAATTTCTTGGCATGAGACAAATAACTATGTTGTTCAGCCCTGTGGTACTCTTGTTTTGTTTCAACAAAATGTCTTCAAGTTGTGTTAGGTCAATTGTATCATAGCTTCAACCACTGCTTCCTTCAAGTCAAGGGGTCAGAGGTCAAGGTCACCATTACTATAAATAGAAAATCAGTGTCTGCATTATTTTACTGTTGTGTTGGACTTAAAAAACTCAGGTTTCACATATTGCTTTCACTTTTTAGATCCAGAGATCAAAGGTCAAGGTCATATTGACTCTTAATAGAACTTGGAGTATACTGCGAAAAAAAAAGAATATCTTACATGAATGTTATTGGTAAATGTTCCCTTTAGAAATCAGGAAGCTAATTGACCGAAATCAAATAAGTCTCCCAGCTATAGGTCAAAGTCAGAGGTCAAGGTCAAATTTTGAAATATGCATTGAAGGTCAAGGCTACTACAAATATAGGAGAAAAGTCTTTTCAATGAACTCTTTTTGTGTATTTTAACTGAAGCCTTCATCTGAGGTATGTCGTAATTATTTCATGGTAATTACATCTCATTGATTATTATTGATAATGTAACTAGATTACCAGGCATCACTTTGTATTTAATATGTGTCGTTGTTTCTTGTTTTCCATTTATATTGTTTCCTATGATGAGTGAAATTAATAAACAAAAAATTGAAACATTACATATAGGTTAAAGAATATCTCATTCTCTTTTCATTGTTTAGAAACCTAATTTTCCGATGTTTGAATTTTCTGTTTCACTGCCATCTGTAACATTTCTATGCTGAGTTTGCATTGTGGTTTGATATTAATTTTCTTGAAATTTGTTTCTGGTTTGCTTGATTTATAATCGCATTTGATCACGATCACAAGGTAGAAACAAATCGTGTCTTTATTTATGTTGATTTTTAACATCATTAACATACCTGTGCATTACTATAATATAATGTGTATCACTTTTGCAGAAGCCTTTTAACTGTATGAGAAATGAAACTTTTAATTAAATCTTTTCAAATTGTTAATTGAAAATTATTTCTTCATTTTTGATAATACAAATAATCACAGCATCAAGCAACCCCGTCAATATTCACAGATGATACTAAATCTATAAATTGATTAGAAAATGTGGACATGATTAAATACTGTATAAAAGCGTGGAGCAAACTTACCCTTAATCCTAGCATACATTGATAATCTATATAAATGTATTTAGACTTTAAAGTTAAAATTAAATTATTATTTTTATTTTCATACTTATTTCAGGTCAGTATTGCAATAAATTGGTATTTTACATTATTCTGTTTTTTCTCTTTTTTAATTCTCTTCTTTTTGTTGATTTTAATATTTAGTTCGATGAGATGCTAGTAAAATTTTGTAAAAATGAAACTTGAATAAATTACTAAAGGGTGAAGTTGTGTGAAATACAGCATCTTGGCAAAAAGTTAAAATTTCCAATTGTGAAAATAAAAAAAAAAATAAGCAGTTTCTTGATTTGATATTTATCTGCACTTCAGAATACTTTCATGTGATGTTATGGCATAATAATCTAGATTTTATTTTATTTTTTTTTTTCACAGGAAGGTGGACAGAAACCGCACATAAAGTTGGATTTTGTAAATGGAGTGTTACACCAAAAACTGATTTTTGTATCGTCCCCAAATGAACTACACGTAGAGGCTGATGAGTGTGTGATATTTAATGATGGTTCCAAATCAAGTGGATGTAACCAGCCCGAGTATCGGGCCTATGTAAGTACCTTTATATCACTGTACTGACTTGGGTGATGGTTTATATGGGTGACCATACATATGATGATAACTTTTAAATGGTACATTGTGACTGCATATGTCAACATTGATGGCAAACAGTATATCTTTAAATTTAAGTCAGAATTTAATTTCCACTGCTGTATACACACAGATCCTTTAGAGTGTTTTTGGGTGTCAGATCTGAAAATCCAATTGTCTTTACTAAAATCATAAAAAATGATCCCACCACATTGCAAAGTATTATAGTTACCAGGTATAGACTTTGGTATTGCAATTTGAAAAAGAGGGATGGTGTGTAATTAATGCTCAAATATATGATTGTTATCTACGATGAATTTAAAGAAAGCAGCTTATTTTCTTCACTCTGAGGAAATATTTCTAGTATTTTTGAAATCTTCAGAAATACTATAATTATGTTCATATCATTTTCAAACAACAAAATCATGTTTAAAGAGACTAAGTCATACTTTACATTGTTTCTTAGTTCATATTTTTTGTCCACCATAATTAGTTATGTCAAAAATAAAGTACATTTTATTTCCTGATAATTTGATTACGTAAAATGTAACATGGCTGTTTTACGGACACTGTAGGCTACTCTGCTGGAGTATGATGATTTCTTCATCACATGAGGTAACCCTGTGTACACCATCTATATACAGTCATATACTTGTATTAACAACCAGATGGGAAGGCTGGCGTCCATCCCAGATTCATAGTTCATATTAACCACTCAAAAGACATGCTGATGGCCGTATACAGCCTGTATCAGTGATTTACAGCCTGTTTCAATGTTTTGCCTGTACTGGAATGTCGATTAACCTTTTCAGATAATTTTGTGCTACAATCTGTCCTTCAAAATTTTTTCTCTTATTCTGATGTTTATGTCGAGTAATTCATCAGATTCATCTCGATGTGAAACTTAATAAGTACAAAAAGTTATTTCTTTCGTGTTGAAAACTTCAATTTGAAATGCATCTTGATATCTGTTCTTAGACGAGCTTGTATGATTGTGGCATGATGCAAGGAGGAAATGAATCAGAGAATCTGTTGTTATCTTTAAGATGTACTTTAATGTCCTATGGAATTTATCTTACTGCTTTCAGTATGTACTATATATCAGAATAATAAGTAACAACAGATCCAGTTAATGACTCATTATATATTAAGTAGATTTGTGCTGATTTTATTGTCCAGAAAAACACTGAATATCATGCAGTAAATCAGTGTTCCTTTTTAACTCCTTTTTTTATTAAGTTATGATGTCTTAGACATCACAAAAATGTGCTTCTGTATCCTTTGTGACATCTTGAGGCGTTATGGTAAACATGCCTCCGTTCCTCTGTGATGCCTTGGTAGAAATTGGCCAGTGAAATGTTTCTTTAACAAATAATAAGTATTAAACATAAAATTATGATGATAATCTTCAGGGACCAATACTTTAATGTAGAACCTTGTTAGGTGAGATTCCATTTGTGTTAAAGTGAAATCAAATTGCCCTGCTCACATGCACTCAACATCGAGTTCGTTAGAAAATCAAGTCAGCAATTTCACTTAATTTTATTAAACAAATTAAAGAATTAGAATAAAGTCTCTTAATTTTCTTGCAGTTTTTATGATTTATTTTAGAGTTGTTAGAATATGTTTGGGTAACACTTAATTATTTTACCTGATATATTTGTACAATTATTTAAATGTTTCTTTCTAAATGAATTCTGTGTTTGCCTAGTAAAAAAACATGAAGATTGAGAATCAAATGAAAATTTCAAAGAAGAAAAACAAATTTTAGATTTCTGCTTCAAAATTTTGAGATTTTTAAAATGATTTTTTTAACATACTTGTACACTTTAGAAATTAATCATAAATTCCTATATACTGTCTCAAAATTGATCAGTTTAATCTACTGTGGAAAAAAATTCAGAGAAGTCAGTAAATTAAGCAAGACAGCCTTCATTGTGCAAACTACAAAACTGCATGTTGTCAAATTAAAAAAAAAAAAAAAAATTAATGATAAGAATGTTTTGTTTACCCAACAGTAGCAGTTTTCTATGGTGAAAACTGATGGAACATTTTTCTGACTTAGAGTTTTTTTACACTCGATAACTTTCATCCTAAATTAAATGTAGGATCGTGATTGAGTTTTCTTCTAATGAGGTTTTATGACGCAAGATTTTATTTAAGATTAGCAAAAATTTTAAATATGGAGATGAGTTTCTTACAGTCTCATATCACATAACTTAGAAAAGAAACATTTTGACAGATTTAAGTTAAAATGTGGAGGATAAAATCAAACAGAGGCAGCTGTTTTCTTATGCTGTTTTTAATTAATGATATAAGATCATTTTCCAAATTATGATATCATTCAAGATTTCTGACTCCTGCAACTGATGAAAAAATTACACTAGTGACTTATTCTAAAATATTCAATGATTGAATTTATTGGAAAACAGGCTGGTGATGTGAAATGCTTATTGACATGTGTTTCTGTCAATTTCTTCTTACACAAAATCTTAATTATTTTACACAGAAGCTTCATAATACAGGAAAAAGGGCATATATAATTTTTTTTTCCTGTTTTGTACTGTAAGAATTTACATGTCAGGATTTTTATAATATATATTTTACCCTTGAAGGATGTAGAGGAGAATTAGAGGAGGTGACAGTGACTTCTATGAGTGAATATTTAGAATGATCATAGTTTAACTATACTGATAACAGTTATTCTAGTTTTGATGGCGTACATATGACACCTGTCTATGTATATATATTCCCTTTCTTTGTATGATGTTGTCTCAAAGGTAACAAATACCATTATGGTCCTTTCCTTCTCAATTGCAGCGTCCACATTACTGAGGAATCATCATGTGGTATCATCCAATCATATTAGTCGTACTATACCTACTAATGGCCTTTTGTTAGAACTGATCTGATTGGTTCATGTTGTTGTTGTCATGCTTTTAACACTATTTTTACAATTACAATTCCAAGTCTTTTATTTTTAAGTTGACATGATTTGAAGATTTTGCATAATCCATTTTTTTACACATTTTACATCAACTGCTTTATCTTTTTTCCATTTATTGTGTACACATAATATTAATGCTTGTAGTATGAATATCTCACTGATGTTTTGTTAGTGGAATAATTGTTGAAAAGTTCTTGTAATTATTACAAATTCTCATAATAGAAAACCAGGGAAATCCCTTTTTCTCAAACCTGATAACTGGGGAAATCCGTAGTATTGAGATGAATAACAAGAAAATCCATAGTTCTCATAATGGTAACTCATGGGGAATTGATATGTTACATTATTCTGTAATTTGTACAGTCATAAGTGATAAGAAGTTTATTGGGAACTCCCTTAAATTGTACTTGTTATAATAATAATCAGGAAAATCCTTATTTTCATAATTAAATCTGAGAAATCCCTTATTTTTCAAAACAGTTAATCATCAGAATCTTAGTTCAACAGATGATCAGGGGAATCCCTAGTTCTCTGTAATAACAGATGATCAGGGGAATCCCTAGTTCTCTGTAATAACAGATGATCAGGGGAATCCCTAGTTCTCTGTAATAACAGATGATCAGGGGAATCCCTAGTTCTCTGTAACAACAGATGATCAGGGGAATCCCTAGTTCTCTGTAACAACAGATGATCAGGGGAATCCCTAGTTCTCTGTAACAACAGATGATCAGGGGAATCCCTAGTTCTCTGTAAGAACAGATGATCAGGGGAATCCCTAGTTCTCTGTAACAACAGATGATCAGGGGAATCCCTAGTTCTCTGTAACAACAGATGATCAGGGGAATCCCTAGCTCTCTGTAACAACAGATGATCAGGGGAATCCCTAGTTCTCTGTAACAACAGATGATCAGGGGAATCCCTAGTTCTCTGTAACAACAGATGATCAGGGGAATCCCTAGCTCTCTGTAACAACAGATGATCAGGGGAATCCCTAGTTCTCTGTAACAACAGATGATCAGGGGAATCCCTAGTTCTCTGTAACAACAGATGATCAGGGGAATCCCTAGCTCTCTGTAACAACAGATGATCAGGGGAATCCCTAGCTCTCTGTAACAACAGATGATCAGGGGAATCCCTAGTTCTCTGTAACAACAGATGATCAGGGGAATCCCTAGTTCTCTGTAACAACAGATAATCAGGGGAATCCCTAGTTCTCTGTAATAACATATGATCAGGGGAATTCCTATTTCCAATAACATATAAACAAGGAATTCCTTTTAGTACTCATAATACATTACGAGGGAATTCCCTAGCTTTACTTTTACTAAATATGGAAACAAAGTTAGTTTAAAGACAAGATCGTGATTGCTTTCCCAGAATTTTAGATGATTATTTTTAGTTGAACTTCATTTGATCAGTGAATGGTAATGATGAACTGTTTTATCATTTAAAGTGACTAACTGATGTCCAATACTGTATCAATATTTGATGGTCTACTCCTACAGGATTTAAAGTTTGGCTGAAAATGAATCTTTCTTTATTTAGGTAACAAAAAATTATAACAAGGAACCATTTAAGGCTGTGTATTTTAGATATCCCTATTTCCTCTTTATATTTTTAAAGTCTGAAAATTCAGAATTCAAAAAATGGAACTTTATGTATTTGATAATACTGTACCTGTTACCGTACCGTAATATTAAATTGAAGTCTTGCCAAGTCATGCCTATCTCCAAAGCTCCCCATGTGATTAAATGTATACAGTTTTTATTTAAATTTGTATGAAAAGTGCAACATAATGTTATCTTTCTTTAATTATTGATCATAACTGTTTCACTAGGATTGCAGAGAGTAACAAATCAGTATTCTGATCACATAGTTGAGATATATATCATATTGGTTATGTAACCATGATAATGATGAAAACCAAACATTATAACACAAACCAGAGAGAATGAACTGTTATAATCCTGTTTATGTCTTCTAAGAATCAACCTCAAACAGAAAAGACAGGATA